TCTGGCATGAACGATGACTGAGTGATAACTCAGCGGCGGCACTTCCGTAAATAGAGTCGGCGTGATGACGTCGTCGAGCCGCGCCGGTGATGGGGATGCTGAGTAGTGTAGTGCTCCGCCACTTAGGTCCGTAGGGGGTGGTCAGGAGGAGGAGTTCGTGACATATTCTTTTTGTATAAGAAAGTTGTCAATTCTTGAGTATGTTTTATGGTGTGCTGAGTGGTGGGTATAATTTTTTTGTGTGGGGTTAAGTTCTCTCCACATATCTATAAGTCCCATTTCTTTAGTTATTGTATTCATTAAATTGGTTAGTGTTTTTTTTATATGTTGTGGTACTTGTTGTATCGAGTTGGGAATTCATTATTAAGTTAAAGTCTCCTCCACATATACAAACCCCCTCCATTTCCATTGCTAGCATATTTAGCATGTATTCATATAATTGTTTATTACTTTCTGGCGGTGCGTATATATTGGCTAATGTTACCATCTTATTTTCAATCTTTCCTTTGATTATGATAAATCGGCCTTCTTTACCTCAGATTTCTTTTACATTTTCATAGTTCTGTGAATTAGATATTAAAATTGACACCCCTCTTTCCCGGTTGTTAGGACATGTAATATAGTATGTATTTTTAAACCCAAGTTTTTTAAGTTTTTCGTGTTCTTTCCTTGATAAATGGGTTTCTTGTAAGAAACTAATTTGTATTTTTTTTATTTATTATTTTTGCTCTTTTTATTGGATTTCCCAGCCCATTTACATTTAATGACATTATTTTAATTTCTTGGTTTTTATTGTGCATCATTTTGATTATTATTCTTTCCTCTTTTGTTTTTCCCTTTTTCTTGATACATTCTCCCCTTTGTCCTTGCAGATGGCCTTCCTGGTCTTGAGGTAAAGAAAATAAAAATAAAATACCCCCGCCCCCCTTTATGAACCCCCTTCTTGTAGCAACCAAACTTAAAACCTGCTGCAACAAGGTAACTGTCTTTGAACTTCTTCCATTCTGAGATGCCCACTAGTGACTCTCTTTCCCTCTTCTGGGGGGAATGCCTTCCTATCAAGATGGGCCCCCCGTCCTCCCCCTCAGTCTTATTCATTCCACTCTAATCCTTACCTAGTGTCTCTCCTTAACCAACATTTTTATTATTTTTTTTACCTTTATGATCGCCTTGTTTTTCTTGAGCGATTCCTCTCCTTGTTTATTCGCTTCCGTCTGCCTTTTTTCTTCTGAGTTAGTATTCTTGCAGTCGTTATCTGACTCTGTTCTTCATCATTCCGTTGTCCCCCACCTTTTTCCAGCTCGCCATTCCCTTCGTATTAGTCTCTTTATCCTTGTGTATTTGTTCTTCTGCCAGCTGGAATGCTTCCACTTCCCATCCTCGCGTCTTCAGGTCCCTCACCGCCTCCTCAGCGTTTTTGTAGCTTTTCGTTCCGTCTTCCCAGAAGATGCACATTTTAGTGTAGGGTGTTTGGAATCGGATTTTCATGCTTTTTAATTTTTTCTTTATTGGGAGATACACCTGTTGGGGTTATTAGGAGCGAACAATTAGTAAGCTTCTACTTACTTTTGGATTCTTCAATCAATTCTGTAAATATGGGAATATTTACTGATTTATTAATTAATTAAGATATTCTTAGATATCCCGGGGCACCATTCCCTTCAACCGGGGAAAAATTGAATCCAAAACTCTTATCAGTCTTTCTTGAAGTTCGTAGAATCCTCGGAGCAGAGACTTCTCTTCGACACAACAAAGCTACTGGAGACAAAATCTGAATTTTATAACATTTAATTAAACAATTTGTGAAATGAATAAACAATGAAGTAAATGAATAATAACCATGTGATATAATAAAAGGAGTGGTGTGTGTGTGCGTGTGTATGGATTCAAAATGGAGTCTTGAATACAAGATGGCTGACCCCTTTGTCTGGCTAAAGTGTGGGTGGCAACTTGCACTTTAACTTCCAAGGCATTTAGAATCAGAAGTAACTTAACCTTAAAATCACTCAAAACATTTCAAAGGATCATGAAACAACACAAAAGATTAATCACAAATTAATATCTTTTAGTTTCACCACTTGGCCATAGTAGAAAACATTTAAAGATATTCAAACAATGATCAATAAGCTGTTTATTCTTTCAAAATGACCCGACGGACGTATTTGGGGAGCGAAAGAGGAAAACACGAAGCTACTTTTAAGCAATAGCGCGGTTTTATTGCTTATTCTGGACTATAGAGGAAACGGAAGAAGGAAAGAGAGAGGAGATGAGTTTCTGATCACCAGAACAGTGAAGCGTCCCTCACTGTTTGATTTGACGGTTCTCCGTGTTTCTCCGCAGTTTGGCGTCGTCCGTCGGTTTGATGCTTTCTCCGTTGTTTCCCTCCACGAGTGTTTCTCCACGGGCTGGACAGAGACAGCAAAGTTTCTTTCTGTGCTGAGTTATAACTTACAGCGGGCTTGATGGAGGATGGAGTTGGAGTTGCTTTTGGGTTTCCAAGTCCTGCTTTCAGCGGTTCTGTGTCCGATCTGCTCCAGCAGTCAGCCTCCCGCTGGCTCACGTTGATCAGAGCAGCAACGAGCGTGTCCTTACCGGCCAGTTATCCTGGGCAAAAGAACGAAGTTCCTTTGTCTTTTCTGATGATTTATAGTCTTAGTTCGCGGGAAAAGTTCCATGGCCTCCCACACACGCAGAACGTGTTTCTGGTATTAGGCGGTGACATCATCCCCATGCTTCCGTGTGCAAAGCATCATGGGAAATTAAGTTTCTTGGCGCTGATGTGATTATTTGCTTTTCAGAGCAATTTAGCAGTCTTTTGGAGAAAATTACTGCAGCAATAATTTCCTCATGAGGTCAGACCCTCAACACAACTTTCTCTGTTGCAGAACTTATGCAGTGTAGTCATGATCGAAAAACACTCCCTCTCCCTCGAATGTAATTTTTTTTCTTCACCTAGGCTTTGTTCAGAATCATTTATTTTGTTTTACTTTGCTGGAAGTGCATTATTATGGATCTAGGTGCCTTCGCTCTGTGAGCTCTTTATATTTGCAGATCTTCTTCTATTCCTCGTTCTTTCTTAAGCCATTCTTCTATTATCTCCTTCACCTTGGAGGGTTTTGATTCCTTACTTTCTTTAATTCCATACACCCTTAAGTTGTTCCTCCTTGCTCTTGCTTCGATAGTCTTTCTTAGTTTTATGATCATCATATTTTTTTCTGTGCGCCACTTGATCGCGAGACTGCTACCCGTTAGCTTTAGCATCAGCCAATCTGCGTTTAGCAGCACTTTTGATCCCAAACTTTGGACCGGTTCTGCCTTTGTGCCTTTGCTGGTTCCTTTATTTTCCTCCACTGCATCCAGATTACCACACTGTGCGCCAGTAAAAAGCATTTTTCTTAGATGTAACATACATTTGTTCAATAAAGTTCTGGGGAAAATAGTAATTCAAAGATGTTGCACCAGTGCTACGTTTAAAAATAGACAGACACACACAGACAGTTTTTTTCCTCGCACTGTACAGCCCTGCTCTGATATGGAAGAGCCTGGGGGAAAATCAGGACGTCAATAGCACCAACCATAGATATGTACCAACTAGCGAGAAAAGCTATTTTTGATCTTTTTCTGCAGCGGTTTTAGCGCTTTTCGGTGCGCAACTGATGATACAGCGCCCCTATGGTGGCGCAACGTTGCAACTGCAGTTAAAATAACATCCATATAGCTGGGGGCAGAGTGAAATCAGGCTGGGGCGGCACAAAATTAGCTGGAGGCGGCCGCCACGCGAATTCTAACACAGGAAAAACCCTGCTGTTGTATATTTACCTTTAAATGAAACTTATTTGTTTGTTTTCACATTTATTAAATCCATCTTTTGCTGTAAAAACAGCATTTTCAATTACAGAAAAACTGTTTCTCCACAGGGGTGTGTGTTTGTTCATTTTCATCTCTAGCCTGTTTAGATACACAAAAATGATGATTTTTATCAATTACAGTGTTTTATTTTTGATTTTTTTTCATTTAAATTTTCTTTATTTTGTTAAATTTACAGCCTGCCTCTGCTGTTTTGGTTTGACTCCCTGCCAGGCTTGCAGAAAAAAATACATCACACGCCGAAATGAGCATGGCAATTCGCAGCTGATGTGATCGAGAGCGTAGGTTAACAAGGGCGCTGAATAGAAGCGCTCTTCCTCCCACAGTGCTTTGCGGCGCATCGTCGCGCTTCCGCGTCTGATGTGACCCAAGTGTGGTTATTGCTTCTATTCAACTAAAACTGTTCTAATCCCTGCCAAAATCAACTTTTATAAATCAATAAAAAAGATTTTCCAGAACTTTACTCTACTGTTAATTTAATATTTCACATTTATTTATGTGAGAATATTAAGGAACTCTTTAACCCTTAAAGGTGTAGTATGTAAGAATATAGTGAGACTTTTACAGTGAGAAAATCCCAAAAGAGTCTGTTTCAGTCATGTTGGAAGGAAGGTTATACTGAAACATATTTTATACCCAGCTGCTGTGGGGATCGTCAGTTTTTCTCCTATGAAAACAATGGAAGGAAATTGTAATTTGAGGATGGCCGGCAAAAAGCTCCAATGTTGTTAAAAGTGGTTGCGGTAACCATATGTCTTCATTTCTACATAATGCATCTTTAATGTACCACATATGCTTCATTTAGCTTCTGCTAGAGATATTTTCACAATTTAAAGTCCCATTAGTCATCACACACTGGTGAAACGATTTCTCTGTATGACTCATCCCCTGGGGGAGCAGTGAGCTGCAGACATGGCTGCACTCGGGAACCATTTGGTGGTTTAATGCTGAGTCTCAAGTGGAGAGGCACTGGGTCCTGTTTTTAAAGTCTTTGGTATGATTCCACTGTGGATTTGAACCCACGATCTCCACCATGGTCAGGGCAGACATGCATACCACTAGGTCACTGACCCGGTAAGAAGTTAGTAATTTATAACTTTTACACATTAATATGTAAAAACTGTTTGACTCACTCTATGCTCATCCTTGCCACAGAATCCAGCGTGTTGAAGCCTGCAGCCATAAAGCTGCTCTTGTACTGACTCATTTTGATCGAATCCAACCAGTCGCCAACAGAGATGAACATTGGGTAGTCCATCTCCTCCACCGGGGATTCTGGTAGGCTAGTTTAAAGAAACACATCAGTTAACTTGTTTAGTACTTCTGTTCAGGCTTTTATCTAAAGGGAGTTGGAATTTAACCAAAACGTGTTTGTTGTTGTTCTGTGGGAGAAAACCCACACATGCACGAAAACATGCAATCTCCACGCAGAAGGGTCACAACCTGGACTTGAACCTGTGACCTTCCTACGAAGCAACAGTGTTGCCATCATGCCGCCCCTTAATATAAAATCGGAAAACTTGAAGCAAAAAGAACACATTTTTTTAAATAGTACTTCACATCAACTTCCCAGGACTCAATTGTTTCAAACTGAGCTTTTAAACTTCAAACTGAAAATCTTTAGTGCTGTACCTCTGGAGGTCTTCCACCAATGGCAGCAGGCTGCTTGGGTTACGAATTAATTTGTCCAAGAAGGTAACAATGTCTGTGAATTTGGGTCGATGATTCCTCTCCTTCTGCCAGCAGTGCAGCATCAGTTGGTGCAGCGCCACGGGGCAGCCCATTGGTGCAGGCAGCCGATAGCCCTCCTCTATGGACAGAATCACCTGCAGAAATAATTGTGAGTGGGGGATGCTGTGTAAGAATTAATTTAGCTTAAAAAAATCAATATTTTAGGTTGAAAATTAAGTCAGTGACTTGATGCAATTTGCTGGGTTCCTTATATAGGAAACATTATTTCTGATTGGCTTAATGAACTGACCTGAATTGGAATTTTTATTATGTGAAGTTCCTTTAGACGACTCTTGTCGTGATTTGGCGCTATATAAATAAACTTGAATTGAATTGAAAATTAAGAAAAGTGTCAGAGGTGAGGTTTTGTTAGGCTTCTGTCGCCCGGAACACACCAGCTGCGAAGCGGATCGCTCACGAAATTCGCGCGCTGCTCCTCTGTTCACATCAGGTGAGAATTTCCGGCAAGTGCTTCCATTAACTCCTACTGTTTTCCAAAACCCCCACCTCGTGCCCTTGCTGTGTGTGTCTGTGTGTAACCAGTTTGCTATTCTTGTTCATATCAGAAACTGCGCTGATCCTGCTGCTGTTTTGTAGACCAGTTCCATTCTAAATGGGTAAGTACATAACTAGTGTTTGTGGTAGTGTACAATGCTGTTGTATATTTACCTTTACTTTAAACGTATTTGTATTCACATTTATTAAATCTGTCTTTTGCTGTAAAAACAGCGTTTAAAATGAAAGAAACGCCGTGTTTCTCCTCAGGAGTGTGTGTGTGTGTGTGTGTGTGTGTGTGTGTGTGTGTGTGTGTGTGTGTTTGTGTTCATTTTCATATCTCTAGTCCGTTTAGATAAATAGAAATGATCACATTTATCAATTGCAGTGTTTTATTTAGAAAAATGCCTTTTATTTTGTTAAATTTACCAGCCTGCCTCTTCTGCTTTGGTTTGACTTCCTACTAGAATTGACGCGGCTCACTCACAGCTTGCAAAAACATTAAGAGCTCTGGCCGAAACAATCGCTGCATGGCGTGAGCCTTCGTGGCGCTTCGCAGCTGACGTGACCGAGAGCGTAGGTCAACAAGGGCGCCGATCAGAAGCGCTAGTCGTTCCACGGCACATCGTCTTACTTCCGTGTTTGGGGTGTTCCGGGCGTGATATTCTCCACTGCAGCACAACACTTTTTATCTTTAATCCTTATTGTTCTGTTTTTTTTTTTTTTATGTGGTGTGACCCAAATTTCACTTTGAACACACCTTTGTGTTTTCATTGACACTAAATACATAAGACTGAAGTTTTAAAGTCTCTTATATTGAATTGAGGTTTTGCTTAAAACCAATTAACAATTTCACACATTTGTGAAAAAAAAATCTTCCTTTTTCACCTTTTGAGAAAATCATAAATGATAAACACACCTTTAAACTCCATTAATCTCCTCCAGCTTCACTGGCTGCCAGTCAACTTCAGGGTTCATTTCAAGATCCTGGTTCTGGGGTCTCATTTATCAAACATTGCGTAGAATCCTTACTAAAACCGTACTTAAGCTCAGCAAAAAATAAATGTACTTACGCCAAGTAGGTTTGTGATCTATCAAACATGGAGTACGCACAGCTGCACGCAATCTCAGCTTCATAAATCGGAGACTAACGAGAAAGGTTCTCAGCTGCTTTTTAGTCACATCCTGCCCTCACCATGCCCACTTACTGCCATAAATGGACAATGCAAAGTGCCTTGTGGATCTCATGCATATACATAAGCTGGCTTGTTGCAGCATTTCAATCACGACCGCAGATCAAGGAAGCACTATTTCACAAGCAGAAGTTGAGGTACTTGTCGATGAGGTGGAGAGATGAAAAGAAGTGCTTTTGCAAAACAAATAAGAGAAAACCCACGGAGTGGCACAGCGTTGCTGAAGCCGTCAATGTTGTGAATTCTTCAGAGAGATTGGTGGCGGACATAAAAAAAATGATCCAATCGGGATTCGATCCCCAGACTCCCAAGTGAAAGTCATACGCGCTAACCAGTCAGCCAAACCAAGATCTCCCATGGCCGAGTAGCCAGGGCGCATGATCAATCGGGTCACAGTGACAGGATGCTCACACTGTCACAGACGCATTACATTCTGTCTCAATCTGTCCCCCTGCTGATATTCTGCATTCCATATTCTGTGATTCAAGCTGTGTGTGTGTGTGTGTGTGAGCGTGTGCGTGTGGGGGTTTTTGTTCTGTGTGAAAACGAAGCAGTACAAGTGATAATGCTGCAGGATTTCATAATTGTATCCTTCTCAGCAGCAGCACTGCAGATGCTCTCCATGTCCAAAATGTGCATAAGCCAGGTCCTTAGTCAACTTAAAGTTGCGCACATTTTTCTGCTAAGTTTTCGTTCATTAATCCCAAAGTTTGCATGGAAAGTTGCTTCCGCAGTTTTCCGACCCCGTTTTGTGCGTGAGTAAGCTTGATAAATGCGGCCCCTGGTCTTTAGGGGGTTAGGGTTAGGGTTCATGCTAATGCATGAATTTTAACTGGAGAAACAAAAAAATGTGGTGGCATCAGCAGACAATGCCCGCACTGCCCGCTCACCACAGCCATGGATTACACCTCATGAGCACACAACACTATATTGGAGCAGGTGGAGGGAGACTAGGGGTCTTGGCACACCTCTGTTGTTGCTTGGCTTCCTGGGGCTGGAGACTAGGAGGGAGATCTGGCCGTCCGGTTGGGTTCTGCTGTGGTGGGTTGCTGTGCTCAGCGGTGGGCGGGGGAGCCTGCTCATCAGCAGCCCAGCAGAAAGGGTCAAACTCTGGTAACCGGTGATGGTTGTACCCAATGTGCAGCAGTACCGGGACCAGAGTGAATAGGGTGTGTATGGGGAGCATGAGTGGGTGTCCGGCGTGTATTTTTGTAAGTCTTGGGTTGTATGTGTATGTGTGAGCATGAGGGAGGGAGTGTGTGACTGTGTTTGTGTATGACTGTATATGTCAGGTGGGGCCTTTGACTCCTCCCCTCTCCTGGGACTTCTTTTGATTATATAGATCTTCGTCCCCCCTCCCCCTGCCACACCTGGTGTGAGGGGTTGTGCCTTGGTCTGCCTGAGTGTTCGTGGCTCCCAGGTCAGGGGGTTTAAGATTTTTGGCATCTGCCTGATCAATCCCGGTGGCTGCCTGGTGGGGTCTGGGTCCCTGGGCTCTACTGGGTCCCCGGCGGGGTGGTCGCCCCTGGGTCCCGGGTCGCTTGGTCCCGGGCTCGGCCGGCTAGGGGGTGGGAGGCTGCGGGCAGGCCTGTGGGCTTGCCGCTGATATCTCCCGGGACTCTGCCGGCTGCTGGTTGTGGCCCCCCGGGTTGATCCTCTGTGCTTCTCGAGGGGGACGGGGACCTTTCTGGTTGCAGTCTCCTTGGGGTTCCTGTGTTCTGGGGCAGCGCCTGGATCTCTGGGACTTGGAGCTCCCCCCGTCTACTACACATCTTTGGGGGGCAGATCTGTGGTCCCTCACACTCTCTATTGGACGTTCCTATAGAGAAACCTTACATAAACAAGCACGTGTACACACACAGGTGCTCTCAAAAGTATGGGCTTGGGCACATTAAACACAGGTCTTAAGACTATGGTGGGCACTTAATGCACTGTGATTTATTATCGTGTGATTGTTCAGTTAAACAATGTTGATTATATATTTCTTCATCAAGTTGACGCAGTGATAGCTTGATCTTGTTGTATTGTTGTTGTGTCCCATTTTTTTGGTCTTCTGCTTTTTTTCTTGTCTTTTTCTGCAGGTCTAGAAGCATTATTGTTCATTATTGTTTATTTTTGTGGAATCCCCCACCCCCTTCCCCCTCTCTCCCCACCTTTTGTCTTTTCCTTTCTCTTTCACCTCTGACACCGTGTCTGGTTGGAATTACAAAGCATTCAAAAACAATAACAATTAAAGCTGCAAGCAGCGTCGTTCGGCCCTCGCAGCTCCGCGCCGCTCCGGCCTGGCCGGCAGCCCGGGGCACCAGGCTACGTCTGCGAAACAGAAACATCGACCACCCCGACACCCGAAACTGCTAACGGCCACCTCGTCCGCACCTCACCCTGACTCAGCATCCCCTTTGAGCCCACCATTATATTTTATGTCTCACCACTAGGGAATCCTCTATCTTAACCACGCTGGTGATTTGATGACAGTGACCAACTTTAATGCTATTCTGACCATGTTTTTTAAAGTTATTGAAGGATAACGTTATCTAGGGGGCGCTGTGACCAACTACAGAAAAGTCCCATTGAGGTCAGCTTTGGTGACATTATATAACATTCACCAACTGTTTGTGCCTCATTGGCTAAAGGGCATGATTGTTCATTGCCATGTTCAGTCTCGGGCAAATCGGAGGCCGTTTGTGGAAGTTACAGTCAAATATACGGTCATGGCGTCATGCCAGCATTCACCATGGCATCAAATCCCCTCCCTTTCTGGAAAGCTATCAGATCTGAATGGTCATTACAACATCATGAAGACAGTGTATGACCTTAGTGTCATGTTCACTAAATTAGATGGGACAAATATGGGTATTTCACCATAAAACAATATACTTCCTGTTGTCAGGGGGCGTGGCTTAGGTGATGTCAGCTGTCCACATTGTCGTTGTCTTGAGATGTGGTCAGTGATCACACAGACAAAGTTTGAAATAGATCTGATCATGCACTTGGGAGTTATTAAGTCATGTAATGTAATGGCGAAAGGTTAAAGTTTGAGGCTTAGCCACGCCCACACCTTTCAACTTTTGAAAAATCCGACGGTTGAATTTTTTCCTCTATGTCTTAAGAGTATATAGCAGAAATTTGAAGGAGATTGGTGAAAAGGACGATGGAGCATCACTGTCCATACAATGTGTGAGAAAACCACTAAATCGAGTATTTGGACCAAAATGGCCGACTTCCTGTGCGACTTTGCGCTTGGCTCCAAGAGACTTTTTTGTAGGTCCTGAGACACCACATTAGTGTACCAAATTTCGTAATCCTCAGTCAAAGCTTGGCTTGGGGCTGACAGTTTTAATGGCTCTAGTGGGCGCTATTTGAGAAAATAGGCCACGCCCACAAATTTCAGCTGTGAATTTCTCTTG